AAGTAGAAGATATTGAGAAAACTGCTTTCAGCACACACATGGGTCTCTATGAATTTCTGGTTATGCCTTTTGGAGTGACAAATGGGCCACCCTCTTTCCACCAACTAATGCATTCAGTTTCGGGACCATTCCTAAGGATCTGTGTCTTGGTTTTCTTTGATGATATCCTGGTTTTTAGAAAATCCTACAAAGAACATTCGAAACATCTCACAATGGTTTTCAAAGCTCTTAGAGAACATCAACTATATAGTAAAAAGTCCAAGTGCATGTTTGCACAAAATAAAGTGGAATATTTAGGATTTGTCATTTCTGCTGAAGGAGTATCTATAGATCCTGCTAAAGTGGAGGCAATCACCAAGTGGCCTATTCTTGAAAATGTAACTCAACTAAGAAGTTTTTTGGGCCTAGCAGGATACTACAGGAGGTTCATAAAAAACATTGGAATTACTTGTAGGCCCCTGTTTGATGTACTGAAGAAAGATGCTTTCACTTGGACGGAAAAGCAAACTCTAGCTTTTCAAACTCTCAAAGAATGTATGACTCAAGCACCAGTTCTTGCTCTGACTAACTACTCCTATCCTTTTATCTTGGAAGCAGATGCTTCTAGATATGGCATAGGAGCAGTGTTAATGCAAAAAGGGCAACCTATAGCTCTTCTCAGCAAATCTTTGGGCCCAAAAGCAGCAGGGTGGTCCACTTATGATAAAGAAGCACTGGCCATCATTGAAGCACTAAAACAAAGGAAACATTACTTTGCTTCATCTTCCATTATCATAAGAACTGATCAGCAGAGCCTTTAACATATACAAGAACAGAAACTGACTGAAGGCATTCAACATAAACTGCTTATTAAGCTCTTGGGTTACAATTTCACTGTGGAATACAAGAAGGGAAAAGGAAACAAGGTAGCAGATGCACTGTCCAGAGTCAAATATGCTTTGCAAACACTGACCACTACTGCTGCAGTACCAGTCTGGATCAAAGAAGTGGTAAATAGTTACAACAGTGATAAAAAGTGCTCTGATCTGTTGACTGAACTAGCTATTGCTCCTAAAGGACACCCCCCATATACTCTCACTAGTGGAGTGTTAAGGTACAAGGGCAAGATTCTCATTGGGAACAACACTGAACTGAGATCATCACTATTACAAGCTTTTCACACTTCAGAACTGGGAGGACACTCAGGAGAGAGAGCTACATGTCACAGATTGGAAATATTGTTTACATGGCCTGTCATGAGACAAGGAGTCAAATCATTTGTGCAATGGTGCCCTGTGTGTCAGATAAACAAAGCTCATCACTCCCCTTCTCCTGGACTATTACAACCACTGCATGTCCCTGGCTTTGCATGGACTCACATCTCCATGGATTCTATGGAAGGACTTCCTGTGTCTGAAAACAAGGACCTCATACTTGTGGTGGTTGACAGGTTCACCAAATATGCACATTTCATTGGCCTCAAACATCCAATCACTGTGAGAACAATAGCTCAAACTTTTGCTGACAACATCTTCAAACTGCATGGACTTCCTACTGTCATTGTCACTGACAGAGACATGATCTTTACCAGTCAGTTGTGGCAGCAATTGTTCACAAAAATGGGAGTTAAATTGCACCTGAGCACCTCCTATCATCCTAAAACTGATGGCCAAACTAAAAGAGTGAACCAATGCCTTGAAAACTACTTGAGATGCATGGCATTTTCACACCCAAGGAAGTGGCATAAATGGTTATCTATGGCTGAGTGGTGGTACAACACTAGCTTCCACATCTCACTCAATATGACCCCTTTTCACGCACTGTATGCCAAACCACCACCTCTTATTGCAGAGCTCATGCTTCCCCCACCAGATGGTGATCACTCACAAGCTGAAATGGACAGAGATGAGATTGCTCAACAAATAAAAGAGAACTTGCTGAAGGCCCAAGAGAGGATGAAGTACTTTGCTGACAAGAAAAGATCTGATAAACATCTGAATGTTGGAGATATGGTGTATGTTAAGCTACAACCATACAGACACACTAGTCTTAGCATCCACAGGCACTTGAAACTCCATTCAAAATATTATGGGCCTTTCAAGATACTAGAGAGGATTGGAGCAGTGGCATACAGGCTCCTCCTTCCTGCTGATTGCAAACTACGCTCCACTTTCCACATCAGCCAACTCAAGAAACACCTTGGTCCAGATGCAGTACCCAATCCCAAGTTGCCACTTTTGGATGAAGATGGACATATCCTCATTCAACCTGAAGTGGTTCTGCAACGCAAATTGATATCCAGAGTACAAGGAGATATCAGCATTCATGTCGTGCAATGGTTGGTCAAATGGACAAATCTTC